AGTAGTGGCGGCGGAAATTCTGAAGGAAGCACATGGCACACCAGTGGAGGCGGTGGTGGCGGCGGCGGTGGCGGCAGCGCCGGCGGCAGTGCCGGCGGTGGAACACAACCGGGAGGCAACCAACCCGGGGTTTCCTGGCCCTCCAGTGGCTCAGGAGGAACTGGCAGCACAGGCACTTTCTGGAGCACTGGTAGTAGCAGCGGAAATTCTGGAGGAAAGCCATGGCACACCAGTGGAGGCGGTGGTGGCATTGTCGGCATTAACGGCGGCGGCAGTGGTGGCGGCAGTGGAAACCAACCGGGCGGCAACCAACCCAGGGTTTCCTGGACCTCCAGTGGCTCCAGTGGCTCAGGAGGAACTGGCAGCCCAGGCACTTCCTCGAGCGCTGGTGGCGGCGGAAATTCTGGCGGCACCACATGGCACACCATCGGAGTGGGCGATGGACAAACAGGTGGCGGACAACCACCTAAAGTTTCTTGGAACCCCAGAGGTTCTGGAAGTAGTGGCACCTCAAGCACTTCTTGGACCAGCAGCTCAACTAGTAGCAATACCTGGAGTGGAAGGACGGGCCGTTCAGTGAAAGAACATCCAGGTATACATTTCAGTATTACGCTACTTGTAAGTGTCTGAAATTGACATGTGATTCATCTTTTCCATTTTTCTTTCTCAGTTTATGAATGGGCAGGCGTTGTCACACTGGGTCCCTTCGAAGTTGCAGAGAAGCTCGCTTAAAGTCAACATTCCAACGTGGCGATCGAAATAAACATTCTGACTGGATTATGGCTGACTGGATGTTATTACCTACATAGCCATAATGCCTCCATTAAAATGACAAAGAAAAGAAAAAAAAAACATCAAAAACTGACATGTGTTGGAAAGTGACAAATCTTTTTGTTTCGAAATTGTCACGTATTTTGCGTTGCCGCTGTGTAATGATATGAGTATTTTTGTATTCCCAAGTCAGGGTTTTGAATGGAAATAAAATTGCAATTGTGTGAAATGCTGGTGTCATTATGTGCAAATATTCACCCAACACAGTGTCTTAATATGTAACCTCCCTACATCATGGAAAAAAATGTAATAACATGGTAAAAGTACCCAGTTAAGGAAGCTATTTATGAACCTGGATTGGAACCTGTCCTCAGCTATTTGCTGCAAAACACACCTAATTTTGTGCGCTTTCTATGACACTCTAAAATGCCATAGGGTGGCACCAAAGCCTGAGCTAAAAAGCCAGTAGTACTAATTGGTATCAAGGAAGTATTTTGAAGCAATTCATCTCAATTGAGAAGCGAAATGCCTTTACATGCTGCACTTGGTTTTGTGGCTTTCAGCGATGGGTAGGAGGCAGGTCGCTGCATGGGCGACAATGGCCTGGCATTGGCACTGGTTGCTAAGGTACTGAACAGGTAGTAGCGTGGTGGCATTTACCACTGATTTGGCCAAAAAAAGTTACAAGTTCAAAATACTTTGCATAAGTGGCTTACTTATTTGTCACAAAAGGGTTTAGACAGTTCAGTTAACATTTTTTGGAACTTGTATGACAGCAAGGCATCTTCAGATGTTACTGTACAGTTGATTTAGGTTTTATGATGGCAACAGGTTGTTCTGATACAGATAAGGTTTTTTTTTGTTCCCCAGAACCTTTCCAGAGGCATTGAATGACAAAATGAAAAGGTATCAATTTCATTGCTCTAACCATCTCACCGAGTACCATTTTGACATTATCTAGTCTAGTCCTACATTGCAATGTATTAACTCAACGACAGTGGAAATGTGGTTCATCCTGACATGTCAAATTGACAACGCGATGAACCTTCACCCCTGTGGACAACTGTCCTAGTTTTAGGGAAAATAAATAAATAACATCACTGCACAAAGTATTGAAGTATGATTTCTTTCTTCTTCATTTAAAATAGTATTTTAATAACTGTCGAACCAACATTTGAAGAGTAATAATTTCTATAATGTTAATTTAAATAGTGTAAAATCTTAATATTGTAATAGTATTTTTTTTATTATATTAAGAATCATAGTCACTTTATTGTCATTGTTCCACATCGTGCAACGAAATTTAATAGCAGCGACAAGGTACAGAAACAACAATACAATACATTTCAATGTGAAATCTCAAATAGTCAATAATCATTTCAAAAAATAATATCGAATAATAAAAGTGAAAAATAAAGGACAGTACTCATTGCTTCTTTGTACTGTTAAAAAAAATCAATCAATTGGAGTGATTAAAAAAAATAATCGAGGTTTTTCTCTTCCCGCTGACGTCACTGCTGGTGGACTATCCCTCCGCTCCCTCTGCGTGCATCCCACTCGGTTTAAATGACGCTACCGCCCCACATCCTGCCCCCGCCCGTCTCCGCGCTACTGCCTGCCACCTTCCGTCGTGTGCCACCCGCAGCATCTTCAACCTCTCCACCCTCTTCATCGTCATCCTCGCCAGACGTTCGCAAGGGGGTGGGGGAGACACCTTGTCTGACATACTGGATCATACTTCGGAATATTGTCCTTTGTTTCCATGCAGATTATTTAAACCGAGACAGCACTCCCCTCTCTTCCTCCCCTTCTGCGTGGATGCTCGACTCCTGCTGAACGCGCAACATCCGCGACTCAACGAGACGGAGAGAGTGAGAGGGGGGCGGCGGGGAAGAAAGCAAAGAAAAAGCCACTGCGAACGCCCTTGCCGTGGATGGACTGCCGTTTCCCCTCCGTGATCGTCACCACGGCATAGTGGGCTCTCGAGTCAGAGAAGATGGCGGACCGGGCTGAGATGTTCTCCCTCAATACGTTCCACTCCCTCTCTCCTCCGGGCTGCAGGTAAAAAAAAAAAAAATCTCAATACGTTCCACTCCCTCTCTCCTCCAGGCTGCAGGTAAAAAAAAAAAAAAAAATGTGCTGGCTGCTGCGTGGTGTTGGGGGCAGAAGGGAGGGGAGAAAAGGGAAGGGAAACTGCCTGATTCTTTGCTTGCGCCTCATTCCAATGCAACATGCGGTTCATAACGCCATTCATATGTCAGAAGCAACAACAAAAGGTGGTGAATATGCTTTCTAGTGTGGTGTTATTGTCTGCTGTGGCCTTGCGGTGCTGTGGAGGCCCACGCCCTGATCCTGATTGGCGCCTTCCGACACGCAGGCTGATGCTAGAAAGTGTTTGTGATGATGCATGAAACGCATGAGTGTGAGTGGGTTGCAGGGAGCATCATCACTGCTGGGGTACACTTCATTGGAAATACATATATGGAATGGCTCTTTTTGCTCTTTGAGACGCTTAGAATCACCCGTGCGGTACTACAAATCGGTCACAACGTTAAGGGCCCGTACAAGCCAATCACACCCAGGGCAAGAGCTCAAATGAAATGATTCAATTAATTTGTTCTTGTCATATTCAAGTTTTGTAAAAGATGCACAGTTCAAAATGGGACAAAGAAAATCAAATCTAGATGCGGAACATCTTCTCAAGAACTACACGAGAACCCATGGTTGTGCTTTTCTCAGGGTAGCGGTGTTGCGATGTTTTTTTATTGACCAATGCAATATGTATTTATCTAAGGCCTGATTCGACATAAAGCGATATATTGCTTTTTTTAATGATACAATTCTTTACGATAAAGGCGATATCAATGTGATATTCTGAAACAGTGAAAGTGGCCTTTCTATAAATAAACTGGAACCAATTATGATATATTGCTTTTTTAATGGTACAATTCTTTACGATAAAGGCGATATCAACGTGATATTCTGAAACAGTCAAAGTGGCCTTTCTATAAATAAACTGGAACCAATTAAATATAACTCCATATTTAAAAAAAAAAGATTTTATTTCATTTTATTTTAGTTTAAAACCAGCTCAACTTTAATGATTCCAAAAATGTAAAAAACAACATTGACATCAGAATAAGCTCATCCTCTGAATATTATAGCACAGACAAAGTACAACAGAACAAGCAATTCTGTCTTTGTACAATAACTTACCTTATTCATCAGACTACGGTGTTTTTAATGTATTAGTGCATCAATGTAAACAGACTTTTGATGAAGTCATTCATCTATCTGAATGATATTCAACATTCTCGTTTATGAACCAAAAAAAAAAAAAGAATTAAACTTGCATATTTTCACATGAAATGAACCTGCTGCTGTGATTGTTCTGTATAACGAACAACTATATGTAACAGTAAATGATTTTGCCAAAGGCTAACATTCTTTTTCAAAAATATCAACTGGTCTACATGGTCAGGCAGCAAGACACTTCTCTATCCGCTCACAATGGACCTCATTTACGAACTGTGCGTACACACCCATTTGCACAAAACGTACGTACGTAATAAGTAACTCTTGGAGCATGAGGACATTTATGATTGAGTTTTTTAATAAGTAAGGCAGCGACACCTTTTTGGTTTATCCCATTACCTTCCATGGCACCCGCCGTTGTTGATTCTTCAGGTTTGTTGCTGTTTGTGATGCCCTGGCAACAGCTGAGACGAATTGGCGTGTTCCCATTATAATTCACTCGACATATGCAGAGGCTTGTCAAGACAATCTCCTTTCTTGCAAAATCCAAATTTTCCACAAAAACAAACGCATTACCTCTTAAAAATCTCCACACTGCCAGTATATTTGTATTTTTTCGATAAATGTCATTTCGCATAAAAAAATGACATTGAGAGTGCATTAGTGTGATGACGTATGATTAATATTCCAGAGCTATGAGCTACAGAATGCTAGACAAAGCCAAACAATCCAAAATCTAAAAAAAATCCTTCCATTTGACCTTGATGCATTGCCCAAAAGCAACTAAAACAAAATATGTATTATTATTAGCATTATTATTATTGTTATTATTATTATTATTATTATTATTATTATTTAGAGCATCAGAAATGATTCTGATGTCTCAGATCACACGTACACACAATCACATTAGCAACCCCAACGGATTTGTCATCCAGCGCTGTGCACTTTTGAGGGATTGAATTTCACGTTGAAGCTTTCAGATCAATGCGACTGGATGAAACGTGACCTCACAGCTCAGCGACAGTTGGTTGGCCGTGCTGCTCTTTATCATATCGGGCCCAAAAAAATGTCATCGTCACAATGTCAAATGTAATCACGCGAAAGAGAAGAACTATTTTCATATCATCCCAGTGATACAATATTAGGTCGTGGAACAGGCACAGTGTGACGAATGAGGACCAAAGCATGCACCTGTCATGTATTCCGCTTTATGTAACAATGCGTAAACTCATGTCAACAAAGCGAGTCAACATTTAAGCTGATGCATAGAAATACATAATTGTAGTTATACCTTATTCCATGTACTTTGGGCGGCAGGTGGCCAGTGGTAAGCACGTCCGCCTCACAGTGCAGAGGTACAGGGTTTGATTCCGGGTCCAGCCTTCCTGGATAGAGTTTGCATGTTCTCCCCGTGCCTGCATGGGTTTTCTCCGGGTACTCCATCTTTCTCCCACATTCATTGCAGGTTGCTGGAACATTCGAAATTGTCCCTAGGTGTGAGTGTGAGCGCGAGTTGTCGTTCGTCTATGTGTCCCCTGCGATTGGCTGGCAACCAGCTGAGGGTGTCCCCCGCCTACTGCCCGAAGACTGCTGGGATAATAATAATAATAATGATAATCCATTTATTTATAAGCGCCTTTCAAAACACTCAAGGGCACTTTACAATCAAGAACAAGAAAAGACACTAAAAATTGCGGGTAAGCAGCGGCAGCCAGACGCGATGCTCCAGCACGCTCATGACCCTCATGAGGATGATTAATTGCCCAGCTCCAATTTAAAACATGATTATGTATTAATTAATTTGTTAATGTATTAATTTTATCTGCATAGAGTACATAAACTGTAAATTAAGCAGTTGGAAACATTCCAATATTATATTTTGTGATTGATTTTTATACAAGTATCTATTTTAGCTGGGAGGTAAAGTGGCTTTGTTATTGTTGTGATGATTATGATTATTTGACAATTTTTATCGTGATTTAAAAACATGACCATATGTTTCATAATAATGCAGCTTTTCGTTTCAATCAATCAAAACTATACTAAGGACACAAATGCACACAGTCTATAGGGTAAAAGTACATTTATTTGCCAAACATACAACCTTTATGTCCAAAATGTTTTAATAAGATGACATACGACGCTCATTCATGCACTAATATCCACAGGATATGATTTATTTGCCTGGATATTCCCTGTTGTTTGGTGAGACAAAATGTTACCAACAGGGTGATTTTTAGTGTGCATTTTAAATTTGAGCTCTGAAGTCAGTCTGGTTGGGGTCAGTCTTGTGGCAAGGTGGGTGTACCATTGCCATTGATTTGGTCAGAAACACTTAGATCAGATCTGACTTGGAAATGGATCTTTGGCTTGCTTGAATGGATTTATAATGAAAAATAGTCATGGCATTAGATCATTTGATGATAGTAGTCCACGATGAGCTCTTATTCTCTAGTAAAATGGGAAACGCTTGACCAAGGACTGTTTCATTAGGTTGAAAGGGATGACTCAAAGTGTGCGTGTGTGTGTGTGTGTGTTTGTGTGTGTGTGTGTGTGTGTGTGTGTGTGTGTGTG